CCCTTTTTATTAATTTTTACTTGCAATCAACAAAATAATTATTTCTCAAAACTAAAAAAAAAATTTAAGTGAAAATCTTAAGAATTAAAAAACATATTAGTAACTGATAAGTATTGAAATTTTTTTTTTGGAAGCCTTTTTTATTTGCCAGAACATAAAAATGACTATAAAAAAATGGTCTTAGTGACTATTTCGGGGCCCCTAACATTGCGGGACCTGGGGGTATAGCCCTTTCTAACCCCATCCCTCCTTAATCCAGCATTGGAAACGAGTATATAAATAAAAATTATATTATACTCTTTGATAAATAAAGGAACATTCATTTCCTTATAAAGCAATTGTCAGATTAAGAAAAAAAATTATAAAAGAGCGATATTTCGAAAATATTTGTTCTAAACATAATTTATTTTGCTTTAAGTTTTTTCACGTTAAAAGTTATTTTTTTTTTCTAGTTTTTTTTTTTTTTGTAATTGTCTTTCATCAGCCAGTTAATCTTTTTTGCACTTTTTTTTCATTTTTAAAATCTGGCCAGTTTTTCGCAACTAAATATTATTTCCATGGTCAGTAACTGAGAGTGATCATTCCCGCTTTGCGACCAAGCCTGTAAGATAAAGTCACACAACCTAATCTTTTTCAAACCATTAAAGATTTTTTTGTTTTTGTTTTACTCATTTTATTTTAGCTAACCCCAGAAAATCAGTTTTGGATCAAATGTGCATCAATAAAAAAGGCAACTGCTTAATTATTTATCACATTAAAACTAACTCACGTTTTAAGTTCAGGTTGTAGATAAGATATCATTTTCAATAAGTTCTTAATGCTATATCTATCTATAGCATTTGCTAAAATTACTTCAAAAATGCAAGATATACCTGAGTTGGTTATTTTTGTAATCTTTTTGAATGGTTTGAAGAGTATGATACGTTTATACATACCTATACTTGAAACATTTTGATGTATAAGTCAACAAAAAGTATGTGTTGTGATGATTGAGGATCAGAACCCTCATAATACCTATGTGTCGCCAAATATTCTAAGCTTTGGCCAAGATCCTAGCTGAATATTTGGTATTCGGCAAAAATCACTATTCCTAGTCTAAAGTATCAATTTAATAATTATTACTTAAGACTTTTAATATAAAAAAGTCACATCATAATAAAAAACAACTTTGTTAACCATATTAAAAAAACAATTATGAAACCTCAAGCTGAAGCTTAAAATTATGTATCATATAAGTTAAAACTTTTAATTTATGCTTTTTTAGCATATTAAATAGTTTTTGAATAAAAGTCTATGGGCCTATCTGAGCACTGTCTTTGATACTAGGTCAGTGTTAATCAAACTGAATTTTTTTTAGAGCAAGATGTTGAGATTAGGAAAGAGATTTTTGTCTTATGAACTGATAATTCCTAGTCACACTTATTAACATATACATTATTACACTTATCTGTTCTTTTTACATATCTGCTTATTTAAATATTTTTGCTTATAAAAAACCAACGATGTCACATTTTTGATATTTTTGAGCTATTATTATTTTTTCAAGCAAGCATATTTTATTTCATATTTTATTTGAATTACTAAGTGAAAAACCCAGTCTTAAAAAGTCTTAACCCAGTCTTACTTAAAAAAGAGGAATTGTTCTATTTGGTTATGTTTAAAAAGTTAAACATAACCAAATGGAACAATCAGTGATGTTGAGAGTTACATTTGGAAAAACTTGCGCTGTCCGCAACTAAAGCTATGACATTTTTTTTCGGAATTACAAAAGCTAGAATCGAATGAATAAGGAAATCAGTTGCTACAACTGGTTAGTAAATAGTTAAAGAAGTTATTTATAATATTTATGTTATGTACTAAACTATTTATATATATATATATATATATATATATATATATATATATATATATATATATATATATATATATATATATATATATATATATATATATATATATATATATATATATATATCGTCACATAAGAATTATAGGGTTCTATCTGCCTTTTTTTTATGTTGTGAGAACTTAATTTTCAATATTTATTTAATACATTTTTTACAGCTGTTATTCATTATAATCATAAATTATAAGTTGTTTATGTTATCTATATTTCATTATTTAACATATTTTAACACTTAACACTTAAAAAATGATACATAATACATCATTCTTAAAGTGGTTTGTTTTTATTATTTATTGTTATTTAAAACTTTGATTGTTAAATTCTTTCAACATAAAACAAGGCAGATAGAACCCTATAATTCTCATGCGACGATATATATATATATATATATATATATATATATATATATATATATATATATATATATATATATATATATATATATATATATATATATATATATATATAAATAATATGTTTTTTGTTCTTTTAGGCTGCCTTCCAATGGATGGTAGGGGCAAACATAAAAATCGGTCACACAAATTATCAGAAAGTGACAGTGAAGCTATCCAAAAACATATGTCTTCAAAGGAAGATCATCTCATTATGCTATAGGAAAAACTAAAAAAATTTACTTACCTGAAGATCTAAATGTCTCTAAAATATTTGAACTATTTAAAAGTGCTTACCCAACTGTTAAAGTAGGATACAAAACATACAGAGTAGTTTTTAACAATAAATTTAACATAGGGTTTGGCCACGAAAAGACACTTGTTTAGCTTGTGATGAGTTCATTGTAAATATAAAACACACACTGACCAAGAGCGTTTAAATGTCGTTGGTGAAGGTATTATCAAACTTAATAATAATAAAAAAAGATATTAAAACAGAGCATGAATTTAACACAAGAAAAGATGCTGTATTTTATAACAGAAAGTCACCTTAAAAGGATCATTTCTTGTTCATTAATCCTTTTACCAGTAGAACTGTTGTATAAAATTGAAATAAAACAAGCATTTAATACGTCTAAACTTATCGCATTATATGTCAAATGAAATTGACAAAAAAAAATTTTTCCAAGTATTTTCAATTAAGTAATTCTTGCCCAACTTAATTCTATTTAGTCTATGTAGCTTGCACAGCTGAGGAAATTTTTCAATGCAAGACCCTCTTAAAGGGACTACCAAGTCTTGAGACATGTTGTGTTCATATTAAAGAGAATGTTAAAAAAAAAAACAACGTCTGAGCACATTTTTTTTGATTAAAACTAATTAATAAATGTATATCAAGAAAAACAAATCTTGTTGTTTTAGTCAAAGCTTGTCTTCTCCATTTTCTGCAGTATTTGGAGTCTGTGAAATAAACGTGATTTTCCAGGCGCATTATACAGACTTGATAATTTATTCAAGTGCCTTTAATTCATAGAAGTTTAAGTACATAACATCATTGGAAACATTCTAGAAATTCTTTAAAAATTTTACTAATAAATTTTACTAAAATAGCTAACTATAGATAGTTATTTTATTTTCTAAAATCTTTACATTGAAAAAAACTTTATGTTTTTTTGTAGCTATCAGAGCCGTGGCTACATGGGCCACAGCGATGGTGGACTTAGGGACCCCTATGGTGCAAAGTCTCAGGACTTAGTAGTCCCTTTAAACAACAAAGTCTCCGAAAAAGTCTGCTTAATTCTTCTTGGTGATTATCAGTAGTTCTTAAAATTGATCTCAACACAGTTTTCTCAAGACTTGGAGCTAATGCATAGGTTCTCTTGATATTTTGATATACAGGCTTCAGGCTCATTATTTTTATTGTGGCATAACAAGTTGTACTTTTCCAAAATTTAAGTAGTTCTTTTCCAAAATTTTCATCCACTTATTTAATTTGTCAATATGAATCTTTTTTATTGTTTGACAGCAATCCATTTAAGGCGATTTCCAAAACATTAACATCTTTTGGGCATATATCCAATTTTTTTTCCCAAAAGTCATAACACAATCCAAGTCATTGCACTTTCTTTTTGCATGCTTTGTTTTTCTATTACCTATGCATTTTATTGATACACTCTACTGTACTGTTTTTGTTTAACATCGAATAGACGCTTAGTTATTTTGATATTTTTTTAAAACCTTTAAAAATAATATTATTATATTAAGTATTTTATAATAAGTTGATAAAAATATCATATTACTGGTGTTGTTAACTGCACAATAAAAAATTAAAACTATAATAAACATAACAATTATATATTTTCTACTAGATTATATATATTTTAGTAAAACTTAAAAATTAATTTCAAAACTTTTAAAAGTGTTTTAATTATGCAAAAAAACATTACTTGACTTTAAGGAAAATAAGAAAATTTAAAAAAAGCAAGCTATTGAAGAAAGTAATCACAATGTTTAAGCATGGTTTTTTTTTAAAAGTAATTGCAAATGCTTTCATTTTAATAAAATTTTGCATGCTTTTGTACGTTTTTTTTTTTTTGTTTGTTACTTTTTTCATTCTATTGAGGAAAGGAATCACCTTTAAGCATGGTTTCTTGTAAAGTCTTTATATATGTGTTTAAAATTTTAGTAACTAATTGAAGACCTCGGTGCAAAAACGATGTAACTCCTTTTTTACAAATTGTTCAAGAGAATGAAAAAACAGATTAATTCTGAATGTTAGGAATAAGTATCATTCATTCACTCTAATCTAATACTTTTTTTTGCATTAAATGTTAGAGCATTTTATAATTAGTAATGTTCCTTTCGATTCTAAAAATTGACCAAATGTGGAGTTACATTGTTTTTGCACTAAGGTCTTCAATTGGTTTTTATTGTAATCACTTGTTTTTTTATAATAACTAAGAAACTATCAACAGCAAATATATTTTGAAAATATATTGCTAAAGTAATGCATTTGTTTTAAAAATTTCTAAGCAAACACCAACATTTAACAAAAAAAAGTCGCAAACCTGATATATATATATATACATATTATACAAAAGAGAGCCCAATAAAAATTTAAATTAATTTAGCGTTGCAATCTCCTGCATAAAATCAAGACAAATAATGTCATAAAAACATCAAGAGCTAAAAGTATAACTTACACCAACATAAACAGTGAAAATCCAGAAATGTAAATGTTACGTTGAGCTCGAAACAACTTCATGTGAGCTTGAATTTCTGCTTGAGGGTTATTTCTTAAATCAGCATGAGATGCATCAACAATGGAATATTTTCTCAATTTATGTAAAGAATCTAATATATATATATACATAAATTAGTAAAAACACTTCTCTAAATATCATCTACAGTCTGTTTCCCCTTCAGCAGGTTCAACAGAAAAAATGTCTAAGTATTACAAAAATTCAAATTATAGAAAAAATATTTTACAGGAAGGTGCAAATTGTTTTGATTAATTTTATAAAAAATGTATTTATGTTGCAGTGAGGAAGTTATATTAGCTACATTATATTTTTTAAAAAATGTAAGAAAATTCTTTAGAACTAGGATAATTTTAGTATGGTCATTTGTTTTTATAAATTTTTAAAGGTATTTATTTTCATGCCTGCATTTAGAAATTAATTCAGATTTTTTGTTTAGTGAAATTCAAAGTTTTCTTGCAAACAAATATATTTTATATAGCCAAATATATTTTGACAGTATAGTCTTTTTTGAGTATTTTTTATGTTTAAAAGAAATGTTTGTGGTTGGAGTAACCTTTTTTCAATTCACCTTTGGTTAAGCCGGTAAATTGTTTATCAAGGTTAATTTGTGAGGAAACAATCCATTTGTAAATAATATTTTTAAATAAGCATATTATATTCTTAAAACAATTTATGCTAGAAATCTCAAAACGGAATAATGCAATTAACGGAATAATGCAATTTCTAAAACATTTCAAAATACTCTAGAACTTTATTTTGCTTAGTCAGCATATTTTTTGAACCAATAGAATTTGTTTGTTAATTTGGCCGGTTTTTAGTGTTTGCGAATATTCTTTTTATTCTTCCGCACCAAGATGTTTTGAGAACATTCAAGTTTATTATGCTTTCATGTATTCAAGTTGTTTTGAGAATTGTTTTTAGAATTGCTTTTTTAAAAATCTTTTCGTTTGTTAAAGTATATCATCATTTACATATGTTTGTATATAATCTTTATAAAACTCTACAGGTATTTAAAAAAATTTTAAAAACCAAGGTCTTCTTGTTTAGAAGCTCAGCGCGCTACCCACTCGGCCATGCTGGCATGTTGATCATCGAAATTTTAAAACTATATAACAATTGTTTTTAACGGATATAGATGCTAAAGATCAGAAATTAAGAAGAGGTTGACGCAATGCAGTTTTTAAGTGAAAATCAAACTCTAAAACTTGATATATGTTTAAGTATGTGTTAACATTACATAACATGAACTTTATGTATGTACAACATGAGTTTCACATTTACTCACGTTTATTATGCTTCCATGTATTCAATGCAAAGCGAAATTTTATAAAAAATTTTAAAATAATAAGTATTTTATAAAAAAAATGTTTCTTCAGATTTTTCTGCCATATGATATGGCAAATAAGAAAAAAAGTGCAATTATTTTTGTTATTTTGTCAGAAAAATCAAAAGTAATGTTTTTTTATAAAATACTTATTATTTTAAATTTTTTTATAAAATTTCGCTTCATTTAAGACCAAACATGACCTACTTTAAAAAAACTATTTTTTTGAAAATATTAGGGATACATTAAATATTCAAGGGTGTTGTGGGACCTCTAAAAATATTTTTAGTACCAAAATATTTGAAATACAGTGTTTTTTTAATCTACACAACACAATAAGGTGTCAGACAAAATCAAAATTGTTAAATTGTTGTTTTGTGATGCACCCTAGTAAGGGAGTTTAAAAAGTATGTTTCATATAAAAACATAATTGAAAATTCTAATTTTATACCTAATTTAAACCATTTTATTCAATTAATAACTTTTAAAAATAATTAAAGTTAAAACTATTTAATATTATTATAATAAGGAAATTTAGAGTTTTACAGCTATTTTACCACGCCCCTGTTAAACATTCCAAACCGAGTGCGCAACAATGACAGAATTTAGATAACCATCTAAATAGTGTTATACTCTATTATTTTTTGGCTTTATATACCTTTTGGCTGATTCCTAATCTTAACTTTTAAATAAGGGATCGTCCATAAATTATGCAATGCTAAATTTCACTAAGGCACAAAACAAAATGATCAAAATTTTCCCTCACAGAGTCGCACACTGATGACAGCGCGCTAAACCACTGAGCTATCAATAATATGCGGTTAAGAGAAAAACAAACGCTCAAAAGGGTGCGCATGTTAACTTTTTTACTCTTAAAGCAATTTTTTTAAATGAGTTATTTTACGTAAAAATATTATAGTAAACAAATAATAGATATAGAAATGGTGTGGAATAAATAAGTATAGAAATGGTAGGCTTGATAAAGACCCGTATTTTATGAGTCCGGAAAGCTAGGATATATATATAAAGAAAAAAGTATAGAAAAGGTCAGAGTGGAATAGACTTACAAAGACCCGTATTTTTACGGGTCTGATCAGCTAGTTTATATCAATATAAAATAATCATCATTAGATTTTTAATAAGGTTTATAAGAATTTTCAGAGAAGTTAAATGTGACACATCAAGAAAATTCAATATCTTTTATGATTTTTTTAAATTGAGGACCTGATTTATTTAACATTATTATTAAACCATCATCGCGATATATCGCCTATTGATTAGATAGATTTATTTAGCTGCAGAATTTAAAATATATAAGCCTACAAATTTGCAAATTTCTGCTCTTTCATATTTTTCCATTGTTACATTAAAGCATTCCTGCGTGGTATTTTCTTCCACGTCTCCTTATTAAAATAGAGTAAGTTATTCTGCAATGTTTAATTAGACAAATAGTTTCCTTTGTACAAAAAACAATTTATAGCATCAGTGATACTTTTCAACTGCTGCAAACTTAATTGTTTTCAAATAATATTATTTATTTGGCTTATGGTCTTTTAGTATCATAACCAACTTGTGCTGGTGCAACTGATTCAATTTTAGTATCTAACTTAATTATTTGAGCAATGCTTTGATAACACTCAGTGGCTCCATGCATGATTTTACTAAAAAGGTCTATTTATGCTATTATGATTTTACAATTTATGCTTGCATTTAAGGCCCATAAATATATGAACACTTCCTTTTATAACAGCAATTAACTTAGAGTAAACTGATTAGCATTAAATTGTGATGTAAAAAGAGCTAGTTTTTATCAGCATAGACATTGTTGCTTAAAAATTTAATAATATACTTACAACAAAGATAAAATATTTACTAAAAATAAAAAACAAAGATAAAATATTTAGGAGTACATAGAAAAATGAATGGATAGTTTTTGAGAATGTAGAAAAAGAAATGGATAAATTTTACATTATAATAACTTTATAATGTTAAGTAACTGAATAATAAATAATCTAGGTATAATAAATACTTTATTGATATTATAATTAATATATACCAAGTTTTATTTGAAAAAAATTTTTGCCTGATATCTTATAAAACTAGAAAATCTTTAAGTGTTTAACTTGAGTTCCAAAACACCAAATATGTTAAAGGGATTCCCAAGTGCCAAGATAAGTAATGTTTTTTTGCAAATAAACATTAAAAAATAAATTTTGAGTTATTAAAATTACCAAAAGAATTTTTTATTGTTGTTAACAAAACATTTGTTTTGTTAACATTTTTCACAAATATTTGTGGTCTTAGAAATAACTTTCCATCAGTTGAATTTTAACTCTAGCAAAATTTACTAGACTTGCTTGCTCTATGTGATTTAAATTTAGCTGTTCCTTCTTCAGATATCAGTACATATCAGTATTGATGGGTCCTATCCTTTGATTCGCAAAGACTCCAATTTTCACATGCTTAACTGAGAGATATACTTATACATCAATTCACCTATTTGTTGTGAAATCAGGTTTAAATCCTCTGACCATTCTTTTATGTGCTTCCGCTTAGCACCTCTTCACTATCTTCACTACTTCACTACCGCTATCTTCACTACCGCTTAGCACCTCACTACTTCACTATCACTATCTTCACTACCGCTTAGCACCTCTTCACTATCTTCACCACTTCACCTATCTCCTTTCTCTTTGATTTTCATTGTTGTCCTTCCTAAGATTGCACTCTTTTAGATGTAATTTCTCAGCAAATTGACCATGCTCTTTCTCTTACCCTTCTGCCAATATTGATGCTATTAGTGATTTTAATGCTTATCACACTGAATAGTTTGGCTTTAACACCACTGACCCTGCTGGTACTAAAGCCTATAACTTCTGTATTTCTCAATCTCTAATTTAGATAGCCAACTTTGTGAGTCTTCTTCCGCACAATTCTAATCACTTAACTTCACTTCTTAATTTTTGTCTCGCCTCTGATCCTAGCTTCTGGTCAATTTCTCCTTGTTCTCCTTTAGGTGTTTCTGTACGAGAAATGATCTTTATGAATCTTTCATTTTGCACTTCTTTATTTTTTTTTTCTATAAAAGAATCCTAGTCAGCTTTAGGGTACTAATTAGAAGTAGGATGCCTTTTCTCTTCCTAGATAACCTCCTGGATCCAACTGGGTTAGGAACCTTTGAGATTCCTTCACGAAAATTTCAAGGCCTCATTCTACTCAACTTTTATCGCCTTTTTGTGCAGTTGCTTGATCTAATCGTAATCATTTTTTACATCTTTTCCAAAAGAACAACTCGCTTATGAACAAAAAATTTATTTATTATTGCAAGAAATCAATGTAAAAGGTTATGTCTGATGCTAATTGTAGACTATGACAGTAATTTTGTAATCCAGACAAAACTCCTGTCATAGTCTTACAAAAGTGTTCTCAGGAACTCTCTTCAATTCAATTCTTAACTATTTAATGAGTGCTTGACTGAATCTTGTTCTCCTGCCTGTTGGAAAATGGCATCTGCAGTTCTGATTTTTAAAAACTCTGGAGAACATTCTGACCCTATAACTATTGTCCAATCAGTCTTCTCTCTATGATTAGCAAGGCCATTGATAAAAAAAATTCTTACATCCCATCTTGACCAAAATTACTTACTGTCAGACCATCTGCTTGTTCACGCCTGACTTGCTGTGTGAATGAAAGATACTATTGTGCATTAAATGGAGGCAGCAAGGCAAAGGCTATTGCTCCTGACATAACTAAAGCTTTCGATAAAG